CAGCCCACGCTGAAATAGTGGCTGATGCACAGCCCACGTAGTCTGTTTCCCGTAACAGAGAAAGGTGTTTCATTACTGCAGGAGCCAGTGTGAATTTCAATTAATAGCCTGACGGGAGGCTGCAAAGGTCGTGTAAAAACAAGGTTCTGTCTTTAGGCTCTGCCACTCGGCTGCGTCTGGTGAAAGATGGTATGAGCTCTGTCCCCAGGTTTTAGATTCGGAGAGCTTTGCTTATTTGGCGATGTGAGTGAAAGTGTTTTAGTATTGTTGACAAAAACAATACATGAACAGCTTCCTCAGTGCTGAAAAAAAAGCACCGTTTTTATTCGAGAGCTGTATTGATAAATACGAAATTCAAAATTCAGACTTAAGATTCAGGAATCAGAATGATACAAGAATCTCATCCTCCTGTTTCTTGAAAGAAGCTGGGGCATGGGCTTTGACAACATGGCTGAGTACCTTGTTCCACACTTCCACAACCCTTTGTGTAGAGAAGTGTCTCCTGTTCTGTTTTAGATGCACTTCAACTTCATTTTCACTTGTGTCCTCCAGTTGGTGTATCACTGTGCAGTCTGAAGAAGTCTTGCTTGCTGACCGTGTCAGTGTCTTTGAGGATTGTGAATACTTGTATCAAGAATCAAGTCTCTATTTCACAGTCTTTTCTGTACAAAACAAAAACTCAGTTCCTTCAGCCTGTCACTCCCTTAAACCCCAGAATGTATCTGATTAATCTTCTTTTAACTGATTCCATAGTAGGGGTAACTTTTCTATAACATGATGCCAAACATTGTACACAGTATTCCAAATGAAGCCCTATTAGGATGTTATACAATTTTAACACAAAACCCCTTAATGTATTATGCATTTATCTACACATTCTCAAATTTTGTTTACCTTTTTCTTTTCTCATATGGTCTACAAATGTAAATGATGTATCAACAGAAACACCTCAATCTTTGTTGTAAGTATTCTCTGCTAGTTCAGTGTTTTCCAAAATTGTTTATAGCTTTTACTACCTTCTTGTAAAATCCTACACTTGCCTATGTGACAGTCTCAGTTCCGCGCGGTGTCGTGCCCCCCGGCACCCGTTCTGGCCCTCACACCTGGGGCGCGAACCCGGGTCTCCGGCGTAACACAGCAGGGCACCAAGCGCGTGAGCTCAAGGAGACCTCCCCCAGCCCAGGCGGCTGAGGACCCTGCTGCGCGCAGGGAGGGCGCTGACGTCACCCCACCAGCTCTGCTACACCTACATTAAATGTCATCTGCCAAGTATTTGCCCGGTTTTGGATTCTAATTTCTTTTTGAAATTAATTTGCTGGTACATCCATGTTTGCTAATCCCCCTAATTTGGTTTAACCTTCAAACTTAACTAGTTGCCTAACTATACCAGAATCGAAATCGCTGATATTAATAAAAGCAGCGGTCCTACTACAGACCCCTGCAGCACTCCTCTAATTACACAATCCCAGTATACGTCTCCCCTTATCTACAGTATACACTCAGTTTTCTAATTATAACCCAATTCTCACTCCAAACACAGCCAGTGTGGCTGAGAGAATTTCTTGTTTCAGCTATAAAGGGGTTAAGAATGCAGGCTGTGAAATTATTTCAGGAATGAATACCTTTGAAGATGGGCAGCTGACATAAACACTTGAACAGATTCCTGAAATGCCTGTGGCGCACCTGGCTGACTGGCAGAGCTCATCCTACAAAGCGCCGTGTGAGGCTGAATAATGAGCAGGGTGGGCTGAGTGACCTTTAGTTTCTTATTATTTCCTGATGTGGGGAAGCAGATAAAGGTGACAGAATATTAGGGTGTAGTGTCAATGTGTAGAATTCAAATCAAGGGATATTACAGCAGGTATATTAAAATTATATGAAACATTAGTCAGGCCTCATCTAAAATAACTGTGTACAATTGTGGTCACCACATTACAAAAAGATGCTGTTGCTCTGAAGTCAGTCCAGAGACGAGCAATCGGGTGCAGTCTGGGGCTTCAGGGGGTGTCTTCCGCTGCCAGGCTGCAGGCGCTGCACATTTTCATCGAACAGAGACGAGTACAAGGGGACCTGGTGCAAGTGTCCCCTAGGGCACTGACAGAGTCGACCCGGTGGCCTTCCTCAGAGCCCACGGGGCTAGAGCACACAGGAGGAGGCTGCGTGAGGTCAGTTAGCCACCAAGTGCCGTACCAGCCGTCCTCCCGTCAGTGACCCCTCTCTCCCGCTCTCCTGGCGCAGACCTGTCCTCCGATGAGGAAGAGCTGCGCGACCTGGCGGCGGAGCTGCCCGGCGTCTGCGGGCGCCTGGACGGGCTGCTGCGCGCCGTGGTGGACTACCCCGCCGTGTCCCGCGCCGTGCGCCGCTACAACAGGCGCCAGTTCCTGTCCTGGAGGCGCAGCCTGGGCGCCGCCTACGCCCGCACCATCGCCGGCCTGCGCTGGCACCGCGACTGGCAGGAGGACCCGGCCGGGTACGAGGCTGCCATCGACCGCTGGATCGCCGGGGCGTAGGGCAGCTCCCGGGGGGCCGTGACGAGACGCACGGGGAGGGGGGGGCGGCTGGTGCTCGCCTCGCGTCCGGCCACAGCCGTCTCCCTCACGCGTGGGGCGGCGGTCTCCTCTCACGCCAAGCCCCGAGAAAGCCCATACGCGCCCTCCTCGCTGTCGGCCCACAGACGTTCTTGACTTTCTTTTTTTTTTTTGGTTATGTAAAGATCAACTTTTTTTTTTTAGTCTTTATACGTATTTTATTTTCGCCGAATCTGAAAGATGACATCTCGGGTTGTCTTCCAAGATGTGGCCCGCTGTTCTCCTCATATATGGGTTATATTGGGAGAAATGGTAGAAATTCCGGTAGTGAACCGTTACAGGGATCTTCAGCACATTGTACTGCAGTTGTCCTAATAGAGCTTCGGCTTCATTGCCGGGGCTGTAACTAAGGGGGAAAAGTATGGCTGTTTTACTGCTCCACCCTCACACCGCCTCACTAGATGTGCACCTTTAAACTTCTGCAGTGGGTTTCAGTGGAACAAAGGCTTCAGAATCAGACTGCAAACTGTTGCCAGGCAACTAGGAATTAACAGCGGCCAGTTTTTTGTTTTAATTGGCTTCATATTTTAACACCCCTTCAGCTGCTTTTAAAAATGTCATGGCTTGCTACAGAGTTACCCAGTTGCCTGGCCCCTGGTGGGTTCCCAAGATATTGGAAAGAAGCTTTGTATTTATCAGTATTGTATGCATCTGAATGGGACTAATTCTTCCGATGCAAATAAAAGAGTGAATGTTCTTTGAGTCCTGCGGGAATGTTGTCGTGTCAGAATTAGCCTGCAGAGTGTGACTACTCTGTAACGGGACTGACTGTGTGCTGATCTCATCCAGCCTCCAACACCGATATCAAGGGTATAAAGGCGTTATTCTCTTGATACACAGGGGCCTTACTTTTCATTCGTGTTGACAGCAGCTGATCTAGTGTAAGTGCACTATTTAAAAAGCCTTGAATTTGCAACTTCATGAACGATAAGGCCTTTGTCGCTCTTTTTATGCGGGTCGAATCTTTACACGTCCCTTGGTGCGCATGTCTATTTAAGAAGGAGACAATGAGACAATGAGAAACTGATTACTTACTTCTGATTACTTCTTCAGATTTTTCAAAAAGAACACCACTACGAAGTATTAAGACGTGCTCGTTAAAGCCTCTTCCTAAGAACATACAATTGTTTGCTAATGTTCGCTTTTTAAGGCTACATCCGCAACTTTTCTGATGAGGCTATGATATTGGTGACAATTTTGATTTTCCTGTTCACACAAACGCGCAGAAGATACTGCTATTAAATGCAAAATCCACCGCCGCCCCCCAGCTGGGCAAACAGAGAAACAGAATTGCAGAATTGTTCCTCCCGCACCAGTGACGGACGCTTGAACTCGGCAGACGGGGTCACGTGATCATCCGAAAAACAAGGCACTGTATCTCGGGAACGAGAACAGCATAATCTCTACTTTCAACAGCACAAGCCGGCACAGACGCAGCAGTAACGAATGATGGGGGTTTCATCGTTTGTGCTTTTTTTAGGGGGGCCAACTTCATAGAGTTCGTTTAGGTCGGAGTGACCACACGTCTGTGCTTCTCAAACACCTGGCTTAGTCCTGATGTTCTCTTCCTGTGTCAGGAGCATAAGGAAAACTGCAGGACACAGTGATGCTCACCACAATCCCATATTTATTCAACAAGCAGTAGCAACAGGAATGGAAAAGATGTTTTAACATGTCAGAAATGAGACCCTCTTCGACTATTAAAGAAAAGCTTCTGATCTGGATGAGGTGACCATCTGAGCTGACATTTCTAGGGACACCAACAGATTTTCACTGTCTGAGGACCAATAGTGGAGCTGATTTTAGACTTTTGTAGCTCCTTGGTCTTCAGTTATATCTGTCGGTGCCAGATATTCAGACACAAAATAAATCATGAGGTGAAAAGGAAAAGTAGAAAAAGAGTTATGTTGGGGCAAATGTTCTTCATTTCAGTTTGTCTTTGTGCAGAACTAGTAGTGTAAGAAGGTCTTCTCGGCGCTCAGTCATTCATCGCCCTCAAGATATTTCTTTGCAGCATACGTCGCAGCAGCTCCAGCAGCTGCTGTTTTGTACACTGCTATCCCGGTGCCTTGCAGAAGAAAGAGAATCTGGTCAGTGATGTGCTAGTGCAGTATTTCGGATCTCTATAATCTCTTCCTTCTGCACAGGGTCTATCTGTGTCTTTTGATTTTGTAGCATCTTAGCTCTGAGTGCATGAATTGCACCACCAGTTTTTCAAGCTTAACACGTTCTGCAGTGCCTCCTAGCTGGCAGGGAGGGAGAGACACATGCAGACCCTGGGAGTTGCGGCCCCTGGTGTGGACTCTTGCTGTTGTACCTTTGAACAAGGCAGCATCCTTGAGTCCGCTCATCTGTACAAATGGGTCCCAGTCTGCCTCGCACAGAACAAACTGGACAATGCTGCAGGCTGGTATGGACCTTGCCCAGTGAAGGTCTAGCCAGTAGCCACACAGAATCTCTCAGCATCAGGCCTACCAGCTGTGGCAGGTGTAGCCATCAGACAGGACTGGTGGGACCCCTCCCCCCGCACTGTCGCACACAGAGAAGACCTCCCCGAGTCCTCCTGTTGCTGATTCTAGGCCACTGCTTACCTGCGGATTGTAGGGCAGCCACCACGCCCCCCAACGCTACTCCTCCGCCATTGGCTATGGCCGCGGATGACATCATCTGGGCCGCCAGGGATCCGGCGGCGATGCCCGCCGAGGTGAACCCGGCCGCCCCCAGCGCCACAGGGGCGGCTGCCACGGCGACCACTGAGCACGGAAACGGACCAGTTACTGCCTGGGGGGGGTCATCCTTCCGGAAGTGTCAGCTGCCTAGTGAGCCTCAGCTCTTTTCGGTTGTTTGAAAAGCAGTTCTGAACAACAAGAGGCTGTGCGTTTGGTAGCTAGACGCCTACTGATTCCTTCAAGGGAAAAGGGTGCCGACTACATTCAAGGCGTTATGAAATAATCATTCTTCAATCTAAAAGGTATCGAGGGGAAAATAGTCTATTATATACACACACACAACACTCTCTAAGTAGTACAAGACATTTCAAATGGAATAGTCTTTGGCAGTTTAGCACCAGTACATAAGTACAAGTAAGATAAGATCAGATCACTTCATTGGCCATATACAATTTCTTGTATGAGGAATTTGTCTTTTCACAGACCCCAGCTTGCTCTCCATGAGACACACAGACAGGGAGAGAAGCTGGGGGTCAGTGCGCAGGGTCAGCCATTTATATGGCGCCCCTGGAGCAGTTGGGGTTAAGGGCTTGGCTCAGGGGCATCACTTACACTCAGTGTATGGTCTGCTTGTACAGCAGCTCCAGGACCATTTTCAGCGCTGCACAGTGAGCAGTAGATGTTGTTCCACTGTCTTTGCTGTATGTCAGCCTGCTCCTCCCCGCAGGAGTCCAGCTCTAACACTCGCTGCTCCTCTTGGGTGCGGGGCTTAAGAGGGTGTCCTTACAGTACATCCTGCTGTGGTTTTTAGGGTGATGTCAAATAACCGTTGGGCCCCAGAGCAAGGCCCTTAACCCCAGCTGCTCCAGGGGCGCTGTACAATGGCTGACCCTGCGCTCTGACCCTCAGCTTCTCTCCCTGCCTGTGTGTCTCATGGAGAGCAGGCTGGTCTGTGAAAAGACAAATTCCTAATGCAAGAAATTGTATAGGGCCACTAAAGTGATGTTATGTTATATGTTATAACCTGTTCAAAATCAAATCATGTCATTCTCACCTCCACCAGCGGCTGCAATCCCAATATCAGTCCAAGACCACCGGCTCTTTTCCTCTAGAGAACACAAATTACACACGTCACTGAAGATCCTAGACAAGTGCTCTTTTATTCCCAGCCTGCAGAGCAGGGAACAGGTGAGGAAGGGCTTGTGGTTCCAGAGGTAAAATGAAAGGAAATGTTAGAAATTCAAGCAGTCAGACTAGAGGTCCAGAAAGAGAGGACTTTCTGGGAAAACAAGTAAGAAAGCAACCCTATGATAACAGGACACCAAACTTTCAACATGAAAATAGACAAGCGCCCCTGTCAAAGCAATTATAAGCATCTGATCAACTAAATCCTAGTTAGTGACTGTTATAGTACTGTAACGCATGCGGCCACCATAGTGGGTTGTTCGAGCCGGCTGACCAGCGCGGTGACGTCACCGCCCTTCCCTGTGAACAGCAGGGACCCCCGCTGACGGGAGATTTCCCTTTAGCTCAAAAGGGCTGGGTCCCTGTTGAATGACGCCGGAAGCCCGGGTTCGAGTCCCCGACCCCCGGGGGGCGGCGACCTGAGGCGACAGAGGCGAGGGCGCCCACGTGAACCCCGGAGCGCTACAGTACAATGATTAAGCTTCAATGTGCACGCTGTGCGATTCCTTCATTTCCTTCTCCGTGTGTTTTGGACTAGAAAGCTGCAGTCGTCCAATTTGCATGTCATGTGATAAAAGTGACATTTGCATGACTGAAAATCAGCTGTGCCGTGTCTGCTCTTCCCAGATCAAGTCCTGTCGTGCATTAACCAATGAACCAATCACCCTGCTAGTCTGCGTCATAAGAACCAGTTTAGCCAGTTTAGCTGCCAAATAATTGCATGTTTCATGTCACGTTTGTAACTGAATTGTGTACAGAAAATTCTAATCCGAGGGGTTCTTACTTTAAAAAAATGGATAGTTTATACTGCAAACACATAGATAATAGCCCCAGCGCGCAGTCATTTCAAATATAATTCATTCAGGTGCGTTCAGTAATGATTACAAGCTGTTCTTCAACATTTCAGGTTTATAGCAGCGTGACAGTTGCAATGTTGTTTCAGTTTTTTTAAAAAAGATTTAAACAAATGAACCCCAGCACCCACACATCCTCACAGCACCACACCGCTACCTTTTGCGACAGCGGCCGAGCAGATCATGGCGGCCAGGAGCAGCGCGTACGTCTTCTGCGACATTTCGGACAGCAGGACTGGAGCGGACCACCACACGCTGCGCTGTCGCCGCTATATATGGTGGCACAACGGGGAGGACCCGGTGACAACATTTTACAGAATCGAAACTTAAGATGTTGAGGGCTACAAACAGGGCAGAGCGAATCTCCTGCAGGCCCCAGGCGAACTAACGCCCCCCGCTGTCACACAAATGCATTTTCAGTCCGCCCGCACACATGTGTGTCTCTATAATCCCCAAGGGGCAATTTGTTTCACCGCAGCAGACCATATAAATAAAACACACAAACACACAACACACACAGACACGAGCGAGAGGATCCGCTGTTGAGCAGGGATATGGCCTCAGGTTCAAAGGAGAACTGGAACCTGTTTGTTTTTAAGGTGGGAAACGTGCATCTGTGTTCAGAGGGGAGTAGTTGTGATTCGTTCAGCAAAGGGTGCGAGGAGTCCACTAGGATGGACCGTGCTTCACCCACAGCTCGTGGCTGCTGGATGTGGGGTGGACCTGCAGGATCAGCGCCAGTGACTTTCTTACTCCTCGGAGTCTCATTCCCAAACCAGCAGATCAGGGCAAAAGATAAAGCACATTCAATACAAGATTGATAAAACCCGTTCAGCAACCAATTATCAACTTTAAAATGCCCCATCTTCCTTACGAAAAATAGCCACTATTTTTCTGAACATAAAAAGTCTTGTGAAACGTGGGAACACTGGAATGAGTGGGCCTCTACGGCTAATTACGCCATTAATTAAATCGTAAATGAAATGATTTTATTCTCAGTTCCTAATTATCATACAATGCTGTTGGAATATTGTGCGATTGTTTTTAACACCTTCAACTGTACGG